GAGTGGGGTAGCTAGATCAGCAAGTAAGTGCAGGAACAGAGACAGTGTGCAGCGACGTGCTGTTTCACAAAGGGCTATATGGCAATAGGTCAGACATGGGCAGGATGCGTAAAGACACAGTGACAAGGTGCACTACAGCAAACAGCCACACGAGCGTGCATCGAAACAGAGCCTGACGAGAATACACAGCAAGCTATAGTAGTCCAGTCAGGTTGAACAGACCTGGCTAAGTCTGACTTACCCACGTGAGGGGAGGCTGTGCAGTACAGGAAAGCATGGCAAACGGACAGAGATAAGGAGTGCCCATACACCCGTAGGGCACTGGATAGTGGTAGGAAAAGAGATCTCCATGCTCTCCGGTACTGCACAGCCTCCCCTCACGTGGGTAAGTGACTTAGCCAGGTCTGTTCAACCTGACTAACCAAGTGAAAGAGATTTACGGCACCTAGCTAAATGCAGTGTAGCTAGCTAGATAGAACCCAATGCAGTAAGTAGCTGTACACGTCTTGGTGGGTTACGCTCGGAAAGGGAAGTAGCTCTGTCACGAAAAGACTGGACCCCCCTGAAGAGAGGAGGCCGTGCAAGACGCGCCACGCGCACAGCTCCATGGCAGTATGCAGGTGTGACGAGCGTATATACGTAACAGATGATTATAAGAGTTACACTTTCTACAAAACCATTTATATAGCGCTAGAGCCCTATTGCTTCTTGAGGTACAGTTACACAGTTGACATGAAACCAGTAGCAGCACTATGGTGCATCCAGGTTGCTCAGGCATACAGCAAGAGCAGTATACAGAAATACTCGATGAATATTTCACGGTGTTGCCTCTTCTTCTTCTTTTAACTAGAAAAGTCCGTATACTTCTGGATGCGTGCGACTCATCCTGGTACAAGCCTCTTTCCGACGGAGAAGCGTCAACAGGAGTGTCATTCATCCCGGTACAGCCGTAGGTGCAGGTGCAATACGGCTAATATTCGTTCCAGCTCTCGTTGCAGGGAGCGACTGTACGCGGAGAGTGGTGGACAGAGACAGACTGTGGAATGGTTGCCTGCAGAGCTGCTAGCTGAGTAGCTATAACTACATATAGGCACGCCGGCGCTAGGCCCACAGCTGGCCTTCGGGCTGAGCCCCCGAAGCTTGATACATAGCTATAATGCTATAGATATGTTTTGGGAGTGGCAGCAAGAATAAGTTGGCACAGCAGACGGAAAAGAGTAGAAAAGAGTTCGTCTTCCCCCTGGGAGCTGGCGACGGTCATTGGTGAGGCTGTAGCTATGACAATGACGCCTTAGGCTGCTCTATAGGTATATAGAGAGCGGTTCCGACAAGAGATGGGCAAAAAGAGAGGCCTACAACACCTGCTGTTCCCAGGCGGTCACCCATCCAAGTACTGAGCCGGTGTTGCCTCTTCTTCTTCTTTTAACTAGAAAAGTCCGTATACTTCTGGATGCGTGCGACTCATCCTGGTACAAGCCTCTTTCCGACGGAGAAGCGTCAACAGGAGTGTCATTCATCCCGGTACAGCCGTAGGTGCAGGTGCAATACGGCTAATATTCGTTCCAGCTCTCGTTGCAGGGAGCGACTGTACGCGGAGAGTGGTGGACAGAGACAGACTGTGGAATGGTTGCCTGCAGAGCTGCTAGCTGAGTAGCTATAACTACATATAGGCACGCCGGCGCTAGGCCCACAGCTGGCCTTCGGGCTGAGCCCCCGAAGCTTGATACATAGCTATAATGCTATAGATATGTTTTGGGAGTGGCAGCAAGAATAAGTTGGCACAGCAGACGGAAAAGAGTAGAAAAGAGTTCGTCTTCCCCCTGGGAGCTGGCGACGGTCATTGGTGAGGCTGTAGCTATGACAATGACGCCTTAGGCTGCTCTATAGGTATATAGAGAGCGGTTTCGACAAGAGATGGGCAAAAAGAGAGGCCTACAACACCTGCTGTTCCCAGGCGGTCACCCATCCAAGTACTGAGCAGGCCCGCAAAGTGTCGGCCAGTTTCAGACTGCCGACTTCCAACGTACCCTCGCCGAGAGCGATGGGCAACCGGGCGTAGGGACTGGGTTGGTCAGCGCAAAAGCAAGGCCACCCACCCGACTGCTCCGTCTGTACTGCCCGAGGGGAACACGCGTGGGACGATCGTTGGAGCAGTCAGGGTAGAAGATCTCGGCGGATCGTAACGGCAAGGTACTTCTCGGTCGGTACTACTGTATGTCGGCCCAGAGCGGAAAATGTGTGGAAGATCGTTAGGACATGCAGGGCTTAATCTCAGCGGATCGTAACAGCAAGGCCACTCTACCGCTTACAATACCCCGTCCTATTCGAGTCGTCTGCAGGAGATCTAGCCCCAGAAACTGCCCAGTTGGACTCGCGGCGACGACCCCGAGGGACTATTCCTCCTCCGGGGCGGATCGCCGACTCGGCACGCGGGGTGCGAGACCCCTATGCGGCTGCTCGCCTGCAATTCCGGGGGATAGGTGTCGTTGCGTTCTAGCGT